TGCGAAAGTTACAACTCTAGGAACTATTAAGAAAAAGAAAGCAGGGGCCGGGCGCAGTGGCTCAAGCCTGTAATCCCAGCACTTTGGGAGGCCGAGATGGGCGGATCACGAGGTCAGGAGATCGAGACCATCCTGGCTAACACGGTGAAACCCCGTCTCTACTAAAAAAATACAAAAAAAAACTAGCCGGGCGAGGTGGCGAGCGCCTGTAGTCCCAGCTACTCGGGAGGCTGAGGCAGGAGAATGGCGTGAACCCGGGAGGCGGAGCTTGCAGTGAGCTGAGATCTGGCCACTGCACTCCAGCCTGGGCAATAGAGCGAGACTCCGTCTCAAAAAAAAAAAAAAAAAAAAAAAAGAAAAAGAAAAAGAAAGCATAGCTTCTAGGATCTTGGGAGAAGTGCAGAGGTTGACTTCACAGGGGAATTGTAGGCTGATGGAACTGGTCATTATGATACTTGGGTATTAGATACAGGACTCTATGCATTTGTTACAATGCATATAACTTTACATAATAGTTAAATCTGATGTGTGTAATCTTAGAAAATTAACTACGGTTTGGAATTTGTAAAAAATAATGGGCTGCTGAAGAGACAATGGATTTTACAGGGATAAAGAAAAAAAAATAAAGGAAGCAACCATAAGGCAAGTGTTGCCATAGTCTAGGGGAGAGATGATGTTAGTTTCACCCAAAGCCCTAGTAACGGAGATTGACTTAAGTAGATGGATTTGGAATGAACTTTAGTAGTTGAGGGAACAGAAGATGCTGTTGCATTGGGGGTTAAGATAAAGAAATGGAGGCATCCAGGACACACACACACACACACACACACACACACACACAATCTTGCCACTTTTGCTATTAACAAAAATGAAATTGAGCCATGATTTGGTTCTTATGGTTTATTGTTAGAATTCATGTGTGTTTTATAACCTCTCTGATATACAGGTAAATGTTACTTCTTCCTCAAACGATGGGAATGCCCTCCACTCCCCCAACCCCGTGATCAACAAATCTACATTCATGGCAACTATGGTAAACCTTCACTGGCAGAGGCAGCATGTTCCCTGAAGGCTGAAACTAAAGTGAGGAAAAGGAACTGAAGGTGAGTCATTTGGGGCATGTTTGGAGAAGGGTTGTGTTCACTCCTTTAAAAAGCTCCCTGACACTGTCCCACTGATTCAATCCCGAGATCATTAGTCCCTTTCTCTTCTGGACAGAAAAATTCCTCCCAGTACCAGGAGATAAAAGGATGGGCTGCCATTTTCTTTTCACCTTCCATAAGAAGTGCTCCCTTCTTGGGAACTCAGAAGAAAAGCTCCATGAGGATAATTCCCAAGGACATGGGGGCCAGAGCTTCAATTTACCCACCAGTTCCCTCCCAGGCTGGGAGAAGAGCTTCTTTGTCTGTGGGTTTCCACCTTGAGCGCTGAGGTTTGATCCACCAATCCTGGCTATGAGCAGAGGCCCACTGCCCCTGGGACACTGAGCCAGAGCTGAAGAGGGAAGTCAGCTCATGAACGACTCAGTTGATCCTGGCTGTAGTGGGTAGACAGAACCCCAACTCTCACTGAATTCTCTGGCAAAATCACATGTCAACCTCGTTTGGAATCTCAGGGCTCCTGAATCCTTCTGAGGGTCCTGTCAGGAGTAAGAGCAGCTGGAATTCCTTTCATGTGGACCTCCAATCCATATGGAGAGGGTCTTAGGCCACTACTCCAATCACATTTGGGCAAGCTGGCACTGGCTCTAAGGCGATAAACTGTTTGTGGACCTTGTCAGGTTTCTGTCATCAACACAACATCCCCTGTTCATGACTTTCTGGAATAGAACTGCTTGTGTTATATTTCTTGGATCCCCAGAGTTCCAGAGGTCAGCAGAAGGACTGGTCTAATAGGAAGGGGAATAAATCCATCATTGTTCCAGGTAGCTTTCCTCCAACCACTGTTGAGTTCTAAGTCCTACTCTGAGATAGCAAAAGGCTCTTGAAAGTAGCCAGACCTTCTATTGGTTGAGACAAGGGGATGGAAGGAGCTGCCATTGCCTCCCTTCCTGTTTGACTCATACTATCTTGCTTCCTTCTGTTACTGACATGATCAACATTCCCAGCCTCTTTCAATCCTTTCGCCTCTATCCTTACTGATGCTCTAATATATTTTTACTGCTGACTCCATAAAAAATAATCTAAACAAAGACTTATTTATTATTCTGTATATATCCATGTATATTTGAAGTTTTTTTATTTTTATTTTTTGGAATACAGTATTTTTAAAGTAGGCTTTAAATATCCTAGTAACAGTTTTGTGTATGGGGTGAAGAAGGGTTCCACTTAAATTAGGGTTTTTATATGGATACTCAGTTGATCTGCTGACATCAGTTTCAACAAGGCTATTCCATGCTCTGAAGCTGTGAATTTTTTTTTTTTTTTAATCAGGTAAGAACGCATGTGCACAGGTTTTTTTTTTTGCTTTTGTTTTTCAAGACTGTCCATTCAGTTTCATTGGTCTATTGACCAACCCCTGCACCTAAATTTAAAACTCCTCATCACATTAGCTTCTTTGTAATTCTTACTATTGGATAGACTATTTTCTGTTTTTCAATAGTATATTGACTATGCTTGACCACTTGCATGTCTTTATATTTAGAATCAGGTGACTCACACATGTCCAAAGCCATTTGCTTGTTTTGATTTGGGATTTCAATTATTCTATATTTTCCTCTACTTTTTGGAAGAACTAACTCATTTAAAATATTGAATCTTCATGCCTATGAATTATTTTTTAGTTTATATTTATGTGAGTCTTCATTAATATCTCTTAAAAACATTTTAATATTTTCATCTGTAAAGTTATTATTTCTGGTTAAGTATTTTTCTCGGATGCATTTTTGGTTAAGTATTTTTCTTAGTGGATATTCGTTTGAATACTGACCTTATATTAGAAAACTGATATACTATTATAAATTGAGTAAATTATCTTTAGTTCTTTTGGATTCTTTTCATGCTCAGTAGTGTCATCCATTAATCACAGAAGTTTGGTTTCCAACTGGCCAATCCTCATTCCTTTCATTTATTCCTCTTTGCTTACAACATTTACCACTACCTCTAGTATAAAGAGTAGTAGAAATACTTGTAGCAGAAACTCTAGGTTAAGTCCCAAGTTCAAACTTCTACTTTCAATATTTAAAATATTTAAAAGGCATATCTTTTATCTAGTTTGATCACATTTTTTTCATGTTATTTTATTTTAGAATAATTTTAGATTTAAAAGAAAATTGACACAATGTTCAAGAACATTCTTTTATGTCCCATAATCTATTCCCCCTGTTATTAACATCTTACTTTGGTAAGGTTTCCTAAAAGTAATGAACCAATATTGATATGCAAACATCCTTTGTTTATTAACAAACATACTTTGTTCACATTTATTTCCTTGTCACGAAAAACTATTTTCTGTCCCAGGATCCCCTGAGGATACTCCGTTACATTTATTCATCATGTCTCTTTCAATGCCCGTTGGCTGTGCAGTTCACTGAGACTTCTCTTGCTTTTGAAAACATTGACAGTTTGGAGATGTATTGTCAGGTATTTCGGAAAACAGCCTTTGACTGGGAATTATCTGATTTTTTTAATGTTTTGATGTAGGTTATGTTTCCTTGGAAGATGAACAGAGAAGTGAAGTGCCATTCTTATCATATCATACCGACGGCACAGAGTACAAACACAATTTGTCATTGATGATGTTAATTTAATCACCATGGTGACGTAGTGGTTTACAGTTTCCTTCAGGGTAAAGTCACATTAATTTTTTCCCTGGGTCATGCTGTCATCTTGGGAAGGACAGAAGACCCAGGAGCAGCCAGTAGTCACATGAGGCCTCTGAGGGAAAACTGCAGAGACGTCTTGCCCACAAAGAGGAGGATCCACAGAAACCAGCTCCCCCCCGTTGTCATCCCCGGGAGGCCCAGAGGCATGGTGACCCACAGGGGTGTCCCCTGACATCTTAGGGGGGAGAAAGAGGACAAGGCTGTGCTCTGGTGAGTCTCAGTTCAGATCATGAGAGCGGAAGATCATGACAGGGGCCTTCCAGGCATCCCCAGGCTGATACAGAGGACGGACTGGTGAGCTACCCCACCAAGGACACAGGAGGACCCCCCAAAACCAGCCCATTTTCACTCCTCCTGGGAGGCCTTGGGCAGGGCCATTAGGGAGAGATGCTAGGGTGCTCCAGTCCCTCTTGGGGCTTTCATGGAAATGGGAACCTTGATCTGAAAAACAGTCTCTGGAGACAAGAGGGAGGGAGTGGAGGCTGTGTCAGGAATAGAGGAAGACAGAGGGTCCTTCCCACGCTATTTCAGGCGGAGGGCAGCGGAGTCCTGCCTGGGGCCTGGGAGGCCATATCCCACTATGGATGGATGTGATTCGATCTCTCTTCTACCTTGCAGGTCTCAGGGATGGGAGGGGCTTATTCGGAGGTGAAAGACTCAGATGTACAGAGGCAGGGAGCCCAGGCCGTTTCAGGAGTCCAGGCACAGCCTCTCAATAGGGCAGGAAGGAAACACCCATGACCGGTAGTGCCCTCTGTCCTGTCCCTGTGCCTGCTGCCAGCTCTGGAGGAGCCCATCAGGGTCCCCAGATTTACAACTTTCTGACTTCCACTTTGGGAGTCAGCTAGAGGGGAGATTATCTCTGAGGAGGGCAGCTTCGGTTAAGCAGAGGGAGTTGCACCAGGGCTGGCCACTCAACAAGAAGAGAAGTCTGTTGAAGGACAGCGACCTCCCAACACGGAGGGGAGGCGCAGGCTGCACCCTGCCACTCCTTGCAGTCAGCCCTGGAAAAAGGTGGGGTGTGAGTGTCAAGGACTGGGGAGGTGGGAGGGAAGAGTCCGGCAAGGCTTAGGGAGTGAGCAGGAAGGGCAGGAGCACATCCTGGAGGTGGGAAGGAAGGGATGGAAAGGAGGCTGACAAGTGGGGGGTGGTTGCTCCTCTGAGAGGAGGCCCCGCCCCACGCTAGCCCTGCTGTCAGTCCTGATCATCCCCGGCAGGGTTCCCGGATGTGCTTTCCGGCGTCCATCTTGGGAGGCTGAAGAACCTGAGGTATTTTGTGACGAGGCTCGTCTCAGGTCAGCAGAGGGAAGAGCCTTAAACCTATCCAGTTTTCAAGGTGAGGGCCCCGAAGGAGAACTGAGGGACCCCCCCCACCACAGAGAGAAGCCCGCCCGGCTTGCTGTACCCCTGCCGTGGGACTTGTAGTTCGCAGAAAGGAAGATGGTAGCCGAGGGCTGAGGGACGGGTCCTCACGGCAGAGGAAGGGAGGAGATGCCGGCCCGCTAGGGAATAAATAGGAAGACATTGAGGAGGACCAGGGGAACCCCCACCTCAGAGGATGGATTCCCGGAGATTCCCACCCTGCTCCTCCAATCAGCCCTCCTAGAGCTCCCCAGTCGGCTCAGGCTGAGCGGCCGCCCTCTCGTTGCTGGGTGAGGGGTGTAGGGGACGGGGAAAGGGAGGCCTTGTTCTGGGGGTCCCCTGGCAAGTCAGCACGGCAAGCTGCCTCCAGCCGGCAGAGGGAAGACTCCCAGACGCTGCTGGGGACAAGAGTGAGGACTGAGGGGTCACATTGAGAGGTGACAGCGTGCTATCTATCAGCCCTCGTGCTTGGCACTTCAGCCTCGGCGACCGCTCTGGCGGCATTCGAGGAACCCTTCAGCCCGCCACGGCACTGTAGGAGCCCCTCTCTGGACTGGCGGAGGCTGGAGCCGCCTCCCTCTGCTCACGGGGAGGTGTGGAGGGAGAGGCCCGGGGGGGAACCCAGGCTGAGTCCCGTGCTCGCGGTCCAGCCGAGTTCTGGCTGGCGCTGGCGTGGGCTTGGCAGGACCTGCACACGTAGCGGCTGGCAGGCACCTCCGGCCCAGAGCAGTGAGGGGCTTAGCACCCGGGCCAGCAGCTGCAGAGGGTGCCGGAGGCCGGCACAGTGCTCAGTTCTCCCCAGGCCTCAGCTGCCTCACTGCAGGGCAGGGCTTGGGACCTGCAGCCCGCCATGTTTGAGCCCCCACTCCGCAGTGGGCTCCCTGGTGGCCCGAGCCTCCCTGATGGGCGCCACCCCCTGCTCCATGGCGCCTGGTGCCATTGACTGCCCAAGGGGTGAGGATTGCAGGCGCCGCTCGGGACTGGCAGGCAGCTCCACCTACAGCCCCAGTGCAGGATCTACTGTGAAGCCAGCTGGGCTCCTGAGTCTAGTGGGGAATTGGAGAACCTTTATGTCTGGCTAAGGGATTGTAAATACACCAATCAGCACTCTGTGTCTAGCTCAGGGTTTCTAAATACATCAGTCATTACTCTGTGCCTAGCTCAAGGTTTGTAAATACACCAATTGGTACTCTGCATCTAGCTAACTTAGTGGGCACTTGGAGAACTTTTTTGTCTAGCACTCTGTCTGTAGCTCAAGGATTGTAAACACAGCAATCAGCACGCTGTCAAAACGGACCAATCAGCTATCTGTAAAATAGACCAAACCCTCTCTGTAAAATGGACCAATCAGCAGGATGTGGGTTGGGTCAGATAAGGAAAGCAGGCTGCCCAAGCCAGCAGTGGCAACCTGCTCGGTCCCCTTCCACACTGTGGTAGCTTTATTCTTTTGCTCTTTACAATAAATCTTGCTGCTGCTCAATCTTTGGGTCCACGTCGCCTTTAAGAGCTGTAACACTCACCACGAAGGTCTGCAGCTTGACTCCTGAAGCCAGCTGAGACCACAAACCCACTGGAAGAACGAACAACTCCAGATGTGCCACCTTCAAGAGCTGTAATACTCAACCTGAAGGTCTGTAGCTTCACTCCTGTCAGCGAGACCACAAACCCACCAGACAGAAGAAGCTCCAGACACATCTGAACGTCTGAAGGAACAAACTCCATACACACCATCTTTAAGAACTGTAACACCGCGAGGGTCTGTGGCTTCATTTTTGAAGTCATCGAGACCAAGAACCCACCAATTCCGGACACAACATGTGCATCAGAACAGACGTGAGGCCACCCGGATCACCCCCGTGGTAGAGTGCTGGGAGGTGGCTGCCACCTCATTACCTCCCACTGCTCTCAGCGCTGTGGAGTTTCACCTGAGGTTTTGCCTCAGGCCAGCAGAGTGGTGGGGGCCTGGCCCTGTCTGAGAACATGTGACAATGCTAATTGAATGCTGAGGGGGCCATGAACCTCAGAACTGTGGGACTCTGGGAGTCTGGCCAGTCCCAGCTGACGTCATAACTGGAGGGTCTCCCTCACTTCCTCTTGCAGGTGCTCCAGGAACCAGGAGTTGAAGACCTGGGTGTGAGGGACACATACATCCTAAAAGCACCACAGCAGAGGAGGCCCAGGCACTGCCAGGAGTCAAGGTGAGTGCACAGCCTGACTCTGTACCAAGGGCCCTACCCCCAGAAACAGGGCAGACCTGGCAGCACCCAGCCCATAGCCACCCACTGTCATTCCTGGTGCCTCAGACTCTGCCTGCCAGCTGTGCCTTGAGGTGCTTTCTCACATCCTCCTACAGGTTCCCAGGAGACAAACGCCCTAGGAAGACAGGTGACCTGTGAGGCCCTAGAGCACCACTGTAAGGGAAGAAGAGCTGTAAGCCGGCCTTTGTCAGAGCCATCATGGGTGAGTTTCTCAGCTGAGGCCACTGGCACTGTCCCTCTCTCCCTCAGGCCTGTGGGATCCCATCATATCCATTCCTGCTCACACGTTTACCTGCTGCTCCTGAGCAATATTCATCATGCCTCTCTCTCCAAACATTCCATGCCCCAGCTTTGAGCAAGGCTTCCAGAAGCCAAATTTCATACTAGAGTTGGTAGATGCAGAGGATCCCCCACATGAGGGAGAGGAGGAAGCCTCCTCCATTTTCTCTTCCTCTCTCCATTTTTTATTCCCCTCCTCCTCCTCTTCTTCTTTCTCATCCTCATCCTCTTCTCTGATTCTGCGTTCTCCAGGGGACAAGGATATGACTGCTGCTGGGATGCCGAGTCTTCTCCAGAGTTCCGCAGAGAGTCGTCAGAGTCGTCCTGAGGGGGAGGACTCCCCGAGTCTTCTCCAGAGTCCTCCTGAGGGGAAAGACTCCCAGTCTCCTCTCCAGATTCCTCAGAGTCCTCCTGAGGGCGAGGACTCCCTGTCTCCTCACCAGATTCCTCAGAGTCCTCCTGAGGGGGAGGACTCCCTGTCTCCTCTCCAGATTTCCCAGAGCCCTCCTGAGGGTGAGGCCGTCCAGTCTCCTCTCCAGAATCCTGCGAGTTCCCTCTTCCCCTCCACTTTATTGAGTGTTTTCCAGAGTTCCCCTGAGAGTACTCAAAGTCCTTTTGAGGGTTTTCCCCAGTCTCCTCTCCAGATTCCTGTGAGCTCCTCCTTCTCCTCCACTTTATTGCGTGTTTTCCAGAGTTCCCCTGAGAGTTCTCAGAGTCCTTTTGAGGGTTTTCCCCAGTCTCCTCCCCAGATTCCTGTGAGCTCCTCCTTCTCCTCCACTTTATTGAGTCTTTTCCAGAGTTCCTCTGAGAGTTCTCAGAGTCCTTTTGAAGGTTTTCCCCAGTCTCCTCTGCAGATTCCTGTGAGCGCCTCCTTCTCCACTTTATTGAGGCTTTTCCAGAGTTCGCCTGAGAGTTCTCAAAGTCCTTTTGAGGGTTTTCCCCAGTCTCCTCCCCAGATTCCTGTGACCTCCTCCTTCCCCTCCACTTTACTGAGTCTTTTCCAGAGTTCCCCTGAGAGTTCTCAAAGTACTTTTGAGGGTTTTCCCCAGTCTCCTCTCCAGATTCCTCTGAGCTCCTCCTCCTCCTCCCCTTTACTGAGTCTTTTCCAGAGTTCCCCTGAGAGTTCTCAAAGTACATTTGAGGGTTTTGCCCAGTCTCCTCTCGAGATTCCTCAGAGTCCCACTGAGGGAGACAACTCCCAGTCTCCTCTCCATAGTCCTCGGAGTCCGCCTGAGGGGGAGGACTCCCTGTCTCCTCTCCAGATTCCTCCTGAGTGGGAAGACTCCCTGTCTCCGCTTCACTTTCCTCATAGTCCTCCTCAGGGGGAGGACTCCCAGTCTTCTCTCCAGAGTCCTATAAGCATCTGCTGCTCCTCTACTTCACTGAGTCTTCCCCAGAGTTTCCCTGAGAGTCCTCAGAGCCCTCCTGAGGGGCCTGCCCAGTCTCCTCTCTATAGTCCTCAGAGCCCTCCTGAGGGGATGGACTCCCAGTCTCCTCTCCAGAGACCTCAGAGTCCTCCTGAGGGAGAGGATTCCTTGTCTCCTCTCTACATTCCTCAGAGTCCTCCTGAGGGGGAGGACTCCCTGTCCTCTCTCCAGTTTCCTCATAGTCCTCCTGTGAGGGAGGCCTCCCTGTCTCCTCTCCAGATTCCTCCGTGTCCTCCTGACGGGGAGGATTCCCAGTCTCCTCTCCAGACTCCTCAGAGTCCTCCTGAGTGGGAGGTCTCCTTGTCTCCTCTCCGCTTTCCTCACAGTCCTCCTCAGGGGGAGGACTCCCAGTCTTCTCTCCAGAGTCCTGTGATTATCTGCTCCTCCTCCACTTCACTGAGTCTTCTCCAGAGTTTCCCTGAGAGACCTCAGAGACCCCCTGAGGGGCCTGCTCAGTCTCCTCTCCAGAAACCTCTCAGCTCCTTCTCCTACACTTTAGCGAGTCTTCTGCAGAGTCCTCATGGGAGTCCTCAGAGTCCGCCTGAAGGGCCTGCCCAGTCTCCACTCCAGAGACCTGTCAGCTCCTTCTCATCCACTTCATTGAGTCTTTCCCAGAGTTCTCCTGAGAGTCCTGAGAGTCCTCCTGAGGGGCCTGCGCAGCGTCCTCTCCAGAGTCCTGTCAGCTCCTTCTCGTCCACTTCATTGAGTCTTTCCCAGAGGTCCCCTGAGAGTCCTCAGAGTCCTCCTGAGGGGCCTGCCCAGTCTCCTCTCCAGAGTGCTGTGAGCTCCTTCTCCTCCACTTCCTTGAGCCCAGTCAGTGAAGAGTCCAGCAGCCCAGTAGATGAAGATACAAGCACCTCAGACACCTTGCTAGAGAGCGAGTCCTTGACAGACAGTGAGTCCTTGATAGAGAGCGAGCCCTTGTTCACTTATACACTGGATGAAAAGGTGGACGAATTGGTGCGGTTTCTTCTCCTCAAATATCAAGCGAAGCAGCCTGTCACAAAGGCAGAGATGGTGACAAATGTCATCAACAGGTACAGGGGCTACTTTCCTATGATCTTCAGGAAAGCCCGTGAGTTCATAGAGATTCTTTTTGGCATTTCTCTGAGAGAGGTGGACCCTGAGGACTCCTACGTCTTTGTAAACACATTAGAGCTCAGCTGTGAGGGGAGTGTGAGTGATGAGCAGGGCGTGCCCCAGAACCACCTCTTGTTTCTTGTTCTGAGTATCATCTTCATGAAGGGCACCTGTGCCTCTGAGGAGGTCATCTGGGATGTGCTGAGTGGAATAGGGGTGCGTGCTGGGAGGGAGCACTTTATCTTTGGGGAGCCCAGGGAGCTCCTCACTAAAGTTTGGGTGCAGGAACATTACCTAGAGTACCGGGAGGTGCCCAACACTGCTCCTCCACGTTACGAATTCCTGTGGGGTCCAAGAGCTCATTCAGAAATCAGTAAGAGGAAAGTAGTGGAGTTTTTGGCCATGCTCAACAATACCGTCCCTATTTCCTTTCCACCCTCATACAAGGAGGCTTTGAAAGATGTGGAAGAGAGAGCCCAGGCCATAATTGACACCACAGATGACTCCACTGCCACAGACAGTGCAAGCTCCAGTGTCGTGTCCCCCAGCTTCTCTTCTGAGTGAAGTCTGGGGTAGATTATTCCCTCTGAGTTTGAAGAGGCGGTCGAGTTTCTACGTGGTGGAGGGCTCGGGTGAGGCTGGGGAGAACACAGTGCTGTTTGCACTTCTGTTCCATATGGGCGGTTAAGGGATTTACCTGTTTTCCTTTTGGGTATTTTTCAAATGCTTTTCCTATTAATAACAGGTTTAAATAGCTTCAGAATCTTAGTTTACAAATATTAGTCACACATGTATTGCTGTTTATCTGGTTTAAGAGTAACAGTTTGATATTTTGTAAAAACAAAAACACACACAAACTCACCACATTGGGAAAACCTGCCTCATTTTGTGATGTGTCACAGGTGAATGTGGTATTGCTGTAGGAATTTTCTTGAAACTGTGAAGGAACTCTACAGTTAAATACTGGAACAAAGTAAAGGATTGTTAATACTTGCATTTCCTCAGGCCCTTTAGTTTGTTGTTCTTGAAAAGTAAAGATACATACCTGGTTTGCTTGGCTTATGTAAGAAAGTAGCAAAAAGTAAATTGTAATAAATAAAAGTGCCTGTGACTCCTTTATTTGATGACCATCATATCAGCATTTGCTCATAGAAGTTACCGTTAGTAGTGAAGTTACTATTAAAAGCAAGACTTATCCCTACCCCTAAAACGGTAGAGTGTAGCTACAGACGCCATATCAGGAATGTGGTAAGATTTTCTCTACAATCTAAAGAGTAAGTTTCAAAAGGAGTGGGGAGGTGAGACTCCAGATGGAGGCTTTGAGTAAAAAGGCTCTGAGCTAAGGCAGTTTTGGGCTTTGGGAAACTGCAGGTGCTTCTGTGGGAGCTGATTGTTATGAAGCTGGGTGGTGGCAGGGCCCAGATTCTCAGAAGGTGAGAGAAAAGCCTGGAATGGAAAACTACTTGAGCAGTTGGCTCTGGGTGGAGGATGAAGCAGAGAGGAGTCTCCACATGGGGAAGTCATGGAAGGTGTCCTGTGGCTCTGTCACTGGGGAGCGTGAACACAGTGCAAGGACTAGGTGGTTGATCCCCATCATCTGCAAGGGTTTCCTGAGAAATGTGGTTAGAATTCCTTGATGTGGTGCTCAGAAGCCTCCAGGCTGGCACTCATTTGCCTGGCCAGGAAGAGCCAGAGCCCATTCCATTAACAGGACTTTTATTTGGGTTCTTTTGAAAGTAATGAGGACAAGTCTAAGCAATGTGTAGATTTTTAGTGGAGCTTAAATAAAACTAGTGATTTGGATGGATGATCAGTGGGGAAGGCGAAAAGGAGTTGGTCCTTAACTCAAAATCTATAGTCATTGAGTTGCATTCAGCTGTGAAAGCCTCTCCTTACTTGAATGATACAATATATCCTTTTAGAAAGAAAATGTCCTGAGTTATATCTATGAAGTAAAACTTTTGTTTCCGTTCATATTCCATGACATATTCAGCTAGATGTTCTCTGAGGTTTTGGATAAATAAGAATTTTTCTCAAAAGACAGTGGTAGACTCTGGGGTTATAATCATATTGATGACAACTGCCATTTATTAAAATTCCAAGACATGCCAAGCTGTGTGCCAGGTGTTTTACTCACATTACATACATTCCAGCAATTCTACAGCACAGGGATTATCAAACCCGTTTTACAGACGAAGAAGCTGAGGTTATAGTTCATGACAAATTCCCCAAGATCCCATGATGATCACATGATTAGAAAGTGACTGGGCTGGGGCTTGAGTTCTGAAATCATCTAGACCCACACTGTCCCCACTCCTCTCAGCCTGAGCATAGCCTTCTTCCTGTTAAGTCACTTCTCTTCACATTTCCTAATGTCTTCCAGGTAACATAAAGAAGAAACCTGTGACAAAGTATTTAGATGGGCCTAGAGAAGAAAGGTGACAATGGGAATCAATACCATTCAGGGATCGTTTGGGCTTTCTTTAGCTAAATTCTTCCTGTTATGAGCCCTAGGTGTCTTGAGAGCTGACTGTGTCTGGGTGCCAGTGCTTTTGTCCAGCCCCAGGCCTTTCCCACATTACAGCACCCTCCAGTTGATCTCCCCTGTGTGCTCCCTTGTGCAACTCTGGAAGCTGGCCTGCTGACTAACTTCTCACTGTGGTCTTGCCTCTGAAACCTGTGCCCAGCCCTCAGTGCAAGAGCCCAGAGACATCTGCCCTTTCCCTGACATAGACCACTGTGTGTCCCTGGAGAAGTTCCCTGAGTGATCCATCCCTCCCTGGGGCTCCTCCATGATAAAGGCTCTTTGATGTGAATATTCACTTTGGATAGTGACATTTCCATACCTAGGCTGGGCATCTTCAACACACTCTCAGTGTATTTCCAAATAGGCTGCAGAGTAAAATCTGATTTTCCACAGAACATATGGGTTTGTGGCATGTAATCCTAAGGTCAGATATAACCTATTTGAAATCTTCCTAATATTTGATACTTGTAGTATGATTTTAATGCGATGCATTATTTGAAACAGGGCACTGAACACAAACAGAGATGAATAAGCTTTTGTAGATGATCAAATGCCAATATTTCCTTCATAAACTTTGTGGATGAGGAAAGGCTATAGACATCGCTTTCTAAATGATCTACTAGAAGGTGAATTGGTAAAGAAATAAAACCGTAACAAAATCTTGAAGACTTCCTAGAAGTTGACCAGGGTACTTTGGGCGACATGCCAGCTCTGATGAGACATAAACAATAGTTAAACATCCTTCCACTGTCTCTTGTATGTGTACCTGCCCCACAGGAAAATCCTGGCTTGCAGGGAACCACAGGCACGTGTATAGCTGTTCAGGAATGTTCCGTCCTATGCAGGGTAGCAGAGGCTCAAAGGGTAGGTTATTTTTCATACACCAAAAATATGAGAGAATTCTCAGCCTAAATAAATTATATAGGTTATGAAAGGACAGTGCCAAGTGATATTGAGGGATTAATGTTGACCCTCCCTGCGAAGACTTACAGAATTGTTTTAAAACTGCATGTAATGCTGTATTTGAAACCACCAGTCACCTCATAGGTGCAAGAAAAAGTTGGAAGATTTCAAGCCTATGCTGACATTCCCAGAAACAATTCCATGCAATGAAGGGATTTCCTGTCATCAATTATAAGAGTTGCTTTTCATTGAGCCCTGTAATAACATATGGGAGAGACTACAAGGGCCCGTCTCCATCTTGTCTAGCTCGCTTTCCTGGCTGGTTCATTTGTAGTTAGACAGAAGCCAGTGCACCGCTCCCATGCTTTCGTTTCTGTTCAGCGCTTAACATCTGTTGTGATGTCGAGGGACAAGGTGAAAGCAGCTTGGATTCCTGGCTGAGGTGAAATCCAGGATCCTCTGTGGATTAGTTTGTTATACCATAACAGAATATCACAGACTGTGTGACTTAAACGGTAGAATTGTATTTTCTCATATATCTGGAGGCTAAATGTCTAAGATCAAGATATGGGCCAGTTTGATTTCTTCCCTGGCCTCCCCGTGGCTTGCTGATGGCCACTTTCTCACTGAATTCTTACATGGATGTTCTTTGGTCTGTGTGTCTGTATCTTAATCTGCTCTTCTTATGAGGACACCAGTCATATTGAATATGATCGTAATCATAAGACCACATTTTACCTTAGTTGCCTCTTCAAAGGGTCTGTCTCCAAATACAGTGATACTCTGCAGTCCTGGAGGTTGAGACTTGGATATATGAACTTGGAAAGAGGGACACAATTCAGCCCACAACACCCTGCCAACTTAAATCAGAATTTATTTGCACAAAAATAAACTCGTGTTAAGCCATTTAACTTTCAGGGACTTTTTTCTCTTCCATCAGGTTACTGTTAATGTGACTACAGGAGTGCTCCTCTTCCTTTTCTTAGGGTCATTTCAATATTTGACTTAAAAGTAAATGGTGCGTGTATTTTTGTTGCAAAAAAATTCTAAAAGTACATAGAAATGGCATTGTTGTCTTTACAAAGTTCCTCCAGAACTCAGCCTCCTACTCAGAAGTTTCCACAATTAACAATGTGGCTGTGTAAATTTTAAAATATGATTTTTGATTTTGGCTTTCCTAAAGATACATGTGCCATTTTATATATACACATATATGTACATATACACACATGTGTAATGATATAATGATATACATATAGGTTTGCCACTTACCTTTGCCACTACTATAGGTTCAATTGCCTCTTCCACAAAATGCTACATTGAAATTAACATGTGGCATTGATTTCGTGATAGGATTAATTCAAAGTTCGTGATAGGATTAATTCAAAGTTAAATTGAGGTTATTAATGCTGGCCTTAATGGAAGTCACTATAAAAAGGGGATATTTGGGCATAGAGATATGAGTAGAGAGATGTCAATGTGAGTAGACACGGAGGGAAGACAGCTAGGTACAAGGCATGGAGAGAAGCCTGGAAAACATCCCGCAATCACAGCCCTCATAAGGAATCAATCTTGTGTACACTTTGCTCTTGGGCTACCAGATCCCAAAACTGTGAGACAATGAATTTCTGTTGTTTTGTCATCCAGGTTGTGGTACTTTGCTATTGCAACCCTAACATGCCATGATACTCACTTATTAAAATGTATCCAGCATCTTTCCATGACAGCACATAGAGATCTGCTTTACTTCGGGGACTTCTCCCGAGGATGCCAATTTATTTCTGTACAATAACAATAGCATTCCCAATGTTGAGTGAGTCCTGATGTAAACTGTGGAGTTGACTTAATAAATAGGTGTCAATACAGATTCATCAGTTGTAGCAAACACGCTATAATAATACAAATTGTAAATAATAGGAGACACTGTGTGTGTGTGTGTGTGTGTGTGTGCGCGCGTGAGGCAGGGCAGGGAGGATGGTGTAGATCTGTGGGAACTCTGTAATTTTGATAAAGTTTTCTCTCTGTATTTTTGGATTAGCAATGCTCTAAAAATGAAACCTATTAGCTTTTTAAAACATGCAAATAATTTGAACAAACACTTTATCAAAGAGGATATACATATTGGAAAGAGGCATGTAATGTCATTTGTCATTAGGGAGATGCAAACAAAAACCAGAGAAGATTCCAATACCCACTTATTACAATGGCTAAAATCCAACAATCTAAAAATATCAAATGTAAGAGAGGATATGGAACAACGGGAATTCTCATTTCTTGCTGGTTGTGATGAAAACTGATACAGGTGCACTTTTAAATCAGTGTTTTCTGCACCTCTTCCTATGACATGGTGAAAGCTAAAACTATAGGAACTGAAAGCAGAACGTAGTTGCCAGGGCCTTTGCAGAAGTGCAGTGACTGACCTCAAATGGGATGCACGGGAGCATTTTAGGTTGATGAAACCGGTCATTATGATACTTGGATGGTACATATGGGCCTCCATGCATTTGCCAAAATACATATAACTTCACATAATAGTTACATTTGATGTGTATTTGTGAAATTTTTTAACTTTTGTCTTACATTCAGGGATAGAAGTGCAGGTTTGTTACACAAGTAAATTACGTCATGGGAGTTTCTCGTACAGACTGTTTCATCACCCATCTATTAAGCC